AAAAAAAAAATTAAAGAGACCCTTCCATAATTTTTAAAAATATTACTTAAACCCCCTCAAAAGACAGGGCGCTTCCCCCCTTTTTCCCCCAAAAATGGGAAACGGAAATTTGGGATTTTTTTAACCCAAAATTTCAAAAATTTTTCTTGCATTCCAATTTAAAAAAACTAAAAGATTTAAAAAGGGGAAAACATTGCGTCCCCAAGAATTAACCCGTGTCCCCAAAATTATTCCAAAAGGAAAAATTTTTTCCTTATTTTGACCCAAAGCCCCAAAAAATTTAGAAAAATTATCACCTTTTCCTTTGGGAGCCTTCAGGATCTCCAGAAACAGGTTTTCCTTTTTAACTGGTTTTTAAAATTTCACCCCGGACTCGTTACCTTCCGAAAAATTCCCGAAAAATTTTCCTAAATTTAAAGTCGCCCTCAATTTGCTAAAATTGTTTTTTACTAGGAAAGCCCCAAAAATTTCCCCTTTCCCCAAAAAAAGGTTTTCCCTCTACGGATCCCCAAAACCGGGGGTCGGGATATTAAAACCAAAATTTTTTTTTCTTGGGGCCCTCTACAAATCACCCCCAAAAATATTCTGTTTCTGCTCCATCTATATTTAAAAACCCCCGTTTTATGCAACAATTTTAAATGAGGGTTCCCTGGGGTTTTTTCCGCAAGGGAAAGGGGTTTTAAGGGGAACTTTCCCTGGGTACCCCCAAGAAAGGGGTTTTTGTGAGGCTTCCCCTGGGGTTAAACCCCAAGAAAGTGTTAAGTGGGGACTTCCCTGGGGTTTCCGCAAAAAATGTGTTTAAAAACGAGGGGTTTTCCCCGGGGTTTTCCGCAAAAAAAAAAGAAAGTGAAAGGGGCCCCTTTCCCCGGGGTTTCCGCAAAGAATGGTTAAGTGAGACTTTCCCTGGATTTTCCGCAAGAAAGTGTTTTAAGGGGAGGCTTCCCGGGGTTCCCGGGAAGAATGTGTTTAAAAAGAGGCCTTTTCCCCGGGGTTTCCGCAAGAATGTTTAATGAGGCTTCCCTGGGTTACCGGGAAGAATGTGTTAAGTTTAGGGGTTTCCCCGAGTTAAAACCCCAAAAGGTTTAAAGTGAGGCTTCCCTGGGTTTTCCGCAAAAAAGTGTTAAGGGGGCTTTCCCCGGGTTTTCCCCCCAAAAAGTTTAAGTGAGGCTTCCCCGGGTTTTCCGGGGGAAGAATGGGGTTTTAAACAGGCTTCGCTGAGTTAAAACCCCAAGAAGTTTTAACTGAGGCTTCCCCCGGGTTACCGCAAAATGTGTTTAAATGAGGCTTTCCCTGGGGTTAAAACCCCAAGAATGTTTTAAAAGAAAGGGTTCCCCTTTGGGGGACCAAAAAAATGTGTTAATGAAGGGGTTCCCCCGGGTTTTCCGCAAGAATGTTTAAAGTGAGACTTTTTCCCCGGGGTTTTCCCCCCCAAAAAGTCTTAAGTATTCTTCCCCGGGTTACCACAAGAAGGGGTTTAAAAGGGACTTCCCTGGGGGACCGCAAAATGGGGTTAAAATGAGGCTTTCCCCGGGTTTTCCGCAAGAATTTTGTTTAAGGGGGGCTTCCCTGGGTTACCGCAAGAATGTCTTTAAATGAAGGCCCTTCCCCCGGGTTTCCCCCCCAAAAAAGTTTTTAAAATGGGGCTTTCCCCGGGGTTTTGCAAGAAGTGTTAATGAAGGGTTCCCTGGGGTTTCCGCAAAAATGGGTTAAATAGGGGTTTTTCCTGGGTTACCGCAAAAATGTGTTAAGGAAAGGGTTCCCTGGGTTCCCGCAAAATTGGGTTTTAATTTACGCTTCCCTGGGTTTCCGCAAGAAGTGTTTTTAAATGAGGGCTTTCCCCGGGTTTTCCCCAAGAAAGTGTTAAGTAGGCTTCCCCCGGGTTACCGGGAAGAATGTGTTAAGGAACTTCCCGGTTTAAACCCAAAGAATGTGTTAAGTGAGAAATTCCCCCGGGTTAACCGCAAGAATGTGTTTAAGGTTTTAGGCTTCCCGGGTTTTCCGCAAAAATGTGTTTTAAAGGGGGCCCTTCCCCCGGGGGTTTCTGCAAAAATTTTTAATGAGGCTTCCCCGGGGTTAACCCCCAAAAATGTTTTAAGTAGGCTTCCCTGGGGAAACCCCAAGAATGTGTTTTAAAAGAGGGTTCCCCCCGGGTTACCCAAAATGGGGTTTTAAATGAGGCTTCCCCGGGGGTTTCCGCAAGAATGTGTTTAAAGGGGCTTCCCCGGGGTTTCCGAAGAAAGTCTTAAGTAAACTTCCCTGGGGTTTCCCCCAAGAATGTTAAATGAGGCTTCCCTGGGTTTTCCGCAAGTATGTTTTAAGTGAGGGGTTCCCGGGGGGGACGCAAAAAATTGTTTTTAAATTGGGGTTCCCCGGGTTACCGCAAGAATGTGGGTTTAATGAGGCTTCCCTGGGTTTCCCAAGTGTTTTTTAAGTGAGGGGTTTTCCCTGGGGGTTTCCGCAAAAAATGTTTTAAGTGAGGCCCTTTCCCCGGGGTTCCGGGGAAAAAATTTGGGTTTTGAGACTTCCCTGGTTACCACAAGAAGTGTTAAGGAAAGCTTCCCTGGGTTACCGCAAGAATGTGTTTAAATGAGGCCCCCCCTGGGTTTAAACCCCCAAGAATGTTTAATGAGGCCCTTCCCCCGGGTTTCCGCAAGAAATTTTTTAAGTGAGGCTTTCCCCGGGGTTTCCCGCAAAATGTGTTAAGTGAGGCTTTCCCTGGGTTACCGGGAAGAATGTTTTTAAGTGAGGCTTTTTTCCCTGGGTTACCGCAAGAACGTGTTAAGTGAGGCTTCCCTGGGTTACCGCAAGAATGTGTTAAGTGAGGTTACCCTGGGTTACCGCAAGGATGTGTTAAGTGAGGCTTCCCTGGGTTACCGCAAGAATGTGTTAAGGGAGGCTTCCCTGGGTTACCGCAAGAATGTGTTAAGTGAGGCTTCCCTGGGTTACCGCAAGAATGTGTTAAGTGAGGCTTCCCTGGGTTACCGCAAGAATGTGTTAAGTGAGGCTTCCCTGGGTAGTACGACTGTGTGTTGTCACAATCTGTCCAGTACGACTGTGTGTTGTCACAACCTGGCCAGTACGACTGTGTGTTGCTACAACCTGGCCAGTACGAATGCGTGTTGCCAGAACCTGGCCAGTGCGACTGTGTGTTGTCACAACCTGTCCAGTACGACTGTGTGTTGTCACAACCTGGCCAGTACGACTGTGTGTTGTCACAACCTGGCCAGTGCGGCTGTGTGTTGTCTCAACCTGGCCAGTACGACTGTGTGTTGTCACAACCTGGCCAGTACGACTGTGTGTTGTCTCAACCTGGCCAGTACGACTGTGTGTTGTCTCAACCTGGCCAGTGCGGCTGTGTGTTGTCTCAACCTGGCCAGTACGACTGTGTGTTGTCTCAACCTGGCCAGTACAACTGTGTGTTGTCACAACCTGGCCAGTACGACTGTGTGTTGTCACAACCTGTTCTAAATTGGTGAAGGATAATGCAAGTCAAAAGCCTTTCTGTTGTGTTTATTTCGCTCCCTTTACACACAGGATAACACACCTTTGGGACTCCTGGGTTGTAATAGGTAACAAAAGAAAAGTACAGTAACTTCCAATAACAGCATACTAACACATACACAAGTGAAAGTTTGTGTATGCAATAATTTCGCAAAAATCATTCTGAACCTAACGGAAAAAAATGTATTTCATTGTGTTTGTTTATTATTAAATTATTGTAAACTTATCTAAAACATTTTTAGTTAAATTAGGCTAAATCAAATTAAATTAAATTAAAGGTTAGGTATGTTTTCTAAGGTTCTTTTAGAACAAAGTTATTAGTTTTTACATTAACATAAATGAAAAAAATGTATCTTTAAACGCACAGAGAAAATATAAGAAAGGACTCAATTTTACATGAGGTCTTGTTAACAGACCAGTTTCACCCATTCGGATATTGGGATATTGGCAGTTTGGAAGAGTATCTAATATTACTTCATATATGCTTCTAAACTGTTGTGTCTGAGCGCCTCTGCAAAGACAGTGATTATGTGTGAGTGAGGTGAAAGTGTTGAATGATGATGAAAGTATTTCCTTTTTGGGGATTTTTTTCATATTATGATAACGTGGGTGGCACCAGCGAGATGCCACTGACGTGTTATTCCCGAGTAGGAATAACCCCACCATGGTTACTGTCAGGGAGGCTGGAGTGGGAATAACACCACCATGGCTACTGTCAGGGAGGCTGGAGTGGGAATAACACCACCATGGTTACTGTCAGGGAGGCTGGAGTGGGAATAACACCATCATGGCTACTGTCAGGAAGGCTGGATTGGGAATAACACCATCATGGCTACTGTCAGGGAGGCTGGAGTGGGAATAACACCATCATGGCTACTGTCAGGAAGGCTGGATTGGGAATAACACCATCATGGCTACTGTCAGGGAGGCTGGAGTGGGAATAACACCATCATGGCTACTGTCAGGGAGGCTGGAGTGGGAATAACACCACCATGGTTACTGTCAGGGAGGCTGGAGTGGGAATAACACCACCATGGCTACTGTCAGGGAGGCTGGAGTGGGAATAACACCACCGATGCTACTGTCAGGGAGGCTGGAGTGGGAATAACACCACCGATGCTACTGTCATGGAGGCTGGTTGACGCTTTTGAATCCAAATCATGAATAATAACAATAATAATTAATAATAATAACATAATAATAATAACATAATAATAATAATATATTATAATGAATTATAATATATTTGCGACCACTGTCAGCCTCAGAGTTATCTCTGAGTTACCAGACCTTGCCACGTGGAGGCCAGTGGTTCGTCTTTAAGGTCCCCCCCCCTCGCCTTCCCCAGGTTCATGTGTCCAGGAATTCATCCGTGGGCCCCCGGATGTCTCCCCTTCCTCATTTCCCTAAGGTCAGCCTCGCCTCTCTTTCTCTCTCTGCCTTCCAGCCTCAGCCTTCCCCAGGTTCATGTATCCAGGAATCCATCTGTCTGCCTCCGGATGTTTTCCCTTCCTCACTTCCCTAAGGTCAGCCTCACCAACCTGTTTTCTTGCTGTCCCCAGGTTCATGTATCCAGGAATCCTTCCGTTCGCTCCCAGATGTCTCCCCTTCCCCACTTACCCAAGGTCAGCCTCAACTGCATGTATTCTTGCCATCCCCAGGTTCATGTATCCAGGAATCCTTCCGTCTACCGCCGGATATCTTCCCTTCCCCACTTACCCAAGGTCAGCCTCAACTGCATGTATTCTTGCCTTGCTCAGGTTCATGTATCCAGGAATCCATCCGCTCGCTCCGGATGTCTCCCCTTCCCCATTTCCCTAAGGTCGGCGGTGCCTTCCCCGGATCAGTGTCTCCAGGAATCCACTTATGTCACCTCAGGTGAACTCCCTTCCCCACTTCCCCAAGGTCAGCGGTATTCTTGCCGTCCGCAGGATCTTGTATCCAGGAATCCATCCGCTCGCTTCGGATGTCTCCCCTTCCCCATTTCCCTAAGGTCGGCGGTGCCTTACCCGGATCAGTGTCTCCAGGAGTCCACTTATGTCACCTGAGTGGACTCCCGTTCTCACTTCCCCAAGGTCAGCGGTATTCTTGCCATTCCCAGGATCATGTATCCAGGAATCCTTCCGTCTACCGCCGGATATCTTCCCTTCCCCACTTACCCAAGGTCAGCCTCAACTGCATGTATTCTTGCCTTGCTCAGGTTCATGTATCCAGGAATCCATCCGCTCGCTCCGGATGTCTCCCCTTCCCCACTTACCCAAGGTCAGCCTCAACAACAACCTTCCTCAAGTTCATGTATCCAGGAATCCATCCGCTCGCTCCGGATGTCTTCCCTTCCCCATTTCCCTAAGGTCGGCGGTGCCTTCCCCGGATCAGTGTCTCCAGGAGTCCACTTGTGTCACCTGAGTGGACTTCCTTCCCCACTTCCTCAGAGTCAGCGGTGCCTTCCCCGGATCAGTGTCTCCAGGAGTCCACTAGTGTCACCTCAGGTGGACTCCCTTCCCCACTTCCCCAGAGTCAGCGGTTGCCACCTTCAGTGACCTCGCTGCATGGAAACTTGGTCTTGTCTAGCTGGTCTACGGTAGAGACTGTCCAGGTGGGTGGAATTACTGGAGGTGACACACACAGAAAACTGCGTCCAGTAATTACACCCATCAAGACAGCCTGGACCGTAGGTCAGCTAGACGCCCCCAAGCTGCATCACAGTTCGGCCACACCGAAGGCTAATTAAACGAAATTTTGGAAATCCTTTTTTGTTACACTAGAAAATAACTGAGAACAATTTGTTTTTTTATTATTTGCTGTTTAAAAGATTTGATGGTTTTATTATGAAATGATCCCAAAATGTTGGTTAATTTTCCACCACCATCAAAACTAGTTAAATTTTACACTGCTTTCTTTTTTTTGTTTATTTATCCTCTTTTTACATTTGGCACTAAAAGCCTAAAAGCGCAGAAATTGTTTGCAACAATATGTAAGATTTTCTCAAATATTAATACGTTTAAACACTTCACCTTACTCATCATCATTCTCATCACTTGCTGCATAAAAAATCAACGCAATCCCATGTATAAAAATACGCACACAAAAAATTACACAGTTATCTGCTATCACTATAAATGTCTGAGATCACACAAACATCCCCCAAAATATATAAACCCCAAAACCATCCCAGAACCTTATGTCCACATACATGGTACACTTTCTAGACATACTGTACTCGTCCACATGTTTAAAACAATGTAGAGAGACAATTTTTGGGAAATTTGATATGAGGGATTTTTCTTCAATATTCAGAATATAAAGACAAAAAAATGTTGGTTTACAGTAATTTGAGAAAATTGTTTGTGTAACTTTTGAATATTAAAGATGTGACACACGATGCACTATGGAGGGGCGTGTGCAAGTGCACTTTGTTATTTTGTAACATTTTAAAAAAAAGTGTTGGTATGGTGTGCATGTTAATGTTTTTGGTTTATGATTGGGCATGTGTACAGTTTTTTTGTTTTTGATTCATATGTATATGTTGTGTTTGATATTGTCTGTGTACTGTTGTGTTGATATTGTCATGTGTACAGTTTGTGTTTATGATTGTCAGTGTACATGTGTTGTTGATGATTTTCATGGGTACAGAGTAGTTTGATCGGGTTTTTTTTGGTTATGTACACTTAATACCGTGATTGTGTGTGTGTGCCATATGAATGGGGGTTTTTTTTGGGGGTTGTCATGTGACATGTTTGTGTTGATGATTTCATGTGTACATTTGGGGGTGTTGATGATTTTTCAGTGACATGTTTTTGTTGATATTTTCAGGGGAAAGTGTATGGTTTTGGGATTTGACGGTTTTGTAACATATACACGGTATTGTGTGTGTGTGCCTATTCAGGTGTTTATGATTCATGTGTAATGTTGTGTGTTGTGATTGCTTGACAGTTTTGGGGTTTTAGATTTTCATGTGTACATGTTGGTGTTTTATGATTGTCGTGTGTACTGTTGTGTGTTATGATTGTCGGGAATTTGTGGTTGATGATTTCAGTTACATGGTTTTGGTGATGATTGTGTGTTAATGTTGTGGTTGATGATTGTATGTTACATGTTGTGGTTGATGATTGTCGTGTGACTGTTGGGGTTTTAGGTTGTCATGGACATGTTGTGTGTTGAGATTTTCAAGGACTGTTGTGGTTGATGATTGTCAGTGTCGTTGTGTTGAGATTACATGGGTACATGATGTTGTTGATCGGGATTTGTACTGTTAGTACACATTAATACACGTGATTGTGTGTGGGCCAAAATGTACGTGTTTGAGTTGTCATGTGTACATGTGTGTTGATGATAGTCATGTGACTTTTATAACATTAAAAAACATATTGGTTTGGTCCTGGACATTTGTTTTATTGAGGGTTTTGGGGGGTACGTGTCAATGATACTTAATACACGTGTTTTTATGTAGTGTACCATATGTACGTTTTGGTTTTATTGCATGTGTAATGTATATTGTGATTGATGTAACGTTTGGTTTGATAGTCTTGGCCTGTTATTAGTATGAATGTTATAACATGATGAATATCGCGGTACTGTTTTTTGTGATTATGAGTGAAAATGAGAAACTCTAAACTCCCCAGAAAATTGCAACAAATTTAAAAAAAAAAACCGTTTATCGTGTTTCATAAATGAAAATTTTAAAGGTTCGCAAATGTTTTCAAAAACATTTTATGCGTTTTACATGTAAAATGGTTTACAGGTTTTAACACAGTTGTTAATAAAAATTCTGTTACTGTGGCTTGCCTTGAACATCAATAATATATTTGTTAATAAAAATATTATATATTATATATTATATATAAATTATATTATAATATTTATAATTTAAAAAAAAGCAAAAAGATCACAGAAAAGGTTTTTTAAAAAAAGCAAAACAACCACTGTGAAAAGTGTTGAAAATTCCAAGTGCTTTGTGACTACTCACATGTCGGTGAGTATCAAAAACGCTTGGAAATTTACTACTCTTTTACACTGGGGTTTGTTTGCACATATATTTTTTTATTATTTTATTATTCACACTGGCCCGATTCCCACCAGGCAGTGTGGCCCGAAAAAGAAAAACATTCACCATACAATCACTACATCATCCAACAGTCTTAGCCATAAGGGTTGCTATACACTACAGTTTATAAACTGCAACATTAACACCCCTCCTTCAGAGTGCAGCACAGTACATCCCAGTCTCCATGACTCAAGTCCGACCTGCCAGTTTCCCGCAGGACCCCTTCATAAATGTTACTTTTGCTCACACTCCAACAGCACGTCAAGTATTAAAAGCCCCATTCAGTCTCCATTTCACTCCCTATCAACACGGCCACGCACGCCTGCTGGAATTCCAAGCCCCTCGCACACAAAACCTCCTTTAACACCCCTCCCCTCCAACCTTTCCTAAGGCCCGAACCCCTACCCCCGCCTCCTTCCACTACAGACTGATACACTCTTGAGTCATTCTGGTTTCGCTGCCCCATTCTCTCTACATGTCCGAACCACCTCAACAACCCTTCCAGCCTCTGGACAACAGTTTTTGGTAATCCCCCGCACCTCCTTCGCTCCTAACTTTCAAACTACGAATTCCTTTCTCTGCATTATATTCACACCATACATTGCCCCACGGCCATGACATCGGTCCACTCTGCCTCAACCTTCTCCTGCTTGTAACAATTCATCACCCATGCTTCAACACCATATAAGAGGCTAGTGGTGTAAAAACTATACTCTCATACATTCCCCTCATTCCGTCCAAGGACAAAGTTCTTTTGTCTCCACAGACTCCTAAGTGGCAGGCCGCGGGTCGCTCCGCCTTTCCCCTTTCCCCTCATCATTCGAATGATTCCCTCTTCCTTCATAGACCATTCCGCTGACACATTCCCCACCCAGAAAACTGAATACATTCACCTCCTCCATACTCTCTTCCTCCAATCTGATATCCAATCTTTCATCACCTAATATTTTTGTTATCCTCATAACCTCACTCTTTCCTGTATTCACTTTTAATTTTCTTTTTTTGCACACCCTACCAAATTCATCCACCAATCTCTGCAACTTCTCTTCAGAATCTCCCAAGGGGCACAGTGTCATCAGCAAAGAGCAACTTGAACAATCCCACTTTATGTGTGATTCTTTATCTTTAACTCCACGCCTCTTGTCAAGACCCTCGCATTTACTTCTCTTAAAACCCCATCTATAAATATATTAAACAACCACGTGACATCACACATCCTTGTCAAAGGGCCTACTTTTAACTGGGAAATAATTTCCCTCTTTCCTACATACTCTAACTTGAGCCTCACAAACCTCGTAAAAACTCTTCACTGCTTTCAGTAACCTACCCCTACACCATACACCTGCAACATCTGCCACTTTGCCCCCCTATTCACCCTGTCATACCCTTTTCCAAATCCATAAAGCCACAAAGACCTTTTTAGCCTTATCTAAATACTGTTCACTTATATGTTTCACTGAAAAACCCTGGTCCACACACCCCCAAACCTTTCCTAAAGCCTCCTTTTTTCATCTGCTATCCTATTCTCCGTCTTACTCTAATTCTTTCAATAATAACTCCGCAATACACTTTACCAGGTATACTCAACAGAACTTATCTCCCTATAATTTTTGCACACTCTCTTGTCCCCTTTGCCTTTAAAAAAAAGGAAATATGCATACTCTCTGACAGTCCCTAGTATCTTACCCTCTTCCATACATTTATTAAATAATTGCACCCAAACCCCTCCAAAACTATATCCCCACCTGCTTTAACATTTCTATCTTTATCCCATCAATCCCGCTGCCTTACCCCCCCCCTTTATTTTTGCTACTGCCTCACGAACTGGCTCTTCCTCACTCCTCCAAGATGTTTTCCTCCTTGCCCTATACACGAAATCACAGCTTCCCCATCTTCACAAAAATTTAACAATTCCTCAAAATATTCCCTCCATCTTCCCATACCTCTAACTCTCCGTTTAATAACTCTCCTCTCCTATTTTTAACTGACAAGTCCATTTGTTCTCTAGGCTTCCTTAACTTGTTAATCTCACTCCAAAATTTTTTCTTATTTTCAACAAAATTTGTTGATAACATCTCAGCCACTCTCTCATTTGCTCTCTTTTTACATTGCTTCACCACTCTCTTAACCTCTCTTTTTCTCCATATACTCTTCCCTCCTTGCATCAATTCATTTTGTAAAAACTTCTCATATGCTAACTTTTTCTCCCTTACTACCTCTTACATCATCATTCCACCAATCGCTCCTCTTTCCCCCCGCACCCACTTTCCTGTAACCACAAACTTCTGCTGAACACTCTAACACTA